AGCCAATCCGGGTGTGGAGGAAGCCGGAAGCGCCAGCCAATGTGGAGCTGAGAGGCGGGGGTTGGAAGGGGAGAATCAGCCAATAGGCAACGAGGGAGGCGGGACATTAAAGGCAATGCAGAATGGAGGGGAGTGATGGTCAAGAAAAAAAAAATGGTGCCCAGGTGCGAAGTGGGGGGGAAGATCAGCCAATCTCAGCAGGCGAAGGTGAGGTGAAGGAAGAATGAAAGTGCCACTGGCCAATCAGATACGGGGGCTTGAGGAGGCGGGAGAAGGGCAAGTTGAGTGACAGGCGAGGCGTCAAATCAGAATACGAATCACGTCAGGACAAGCGGACGCGGCTGAAGAAGGTGGGCCCTCCGACCAATCAGACGGAGGCTCCCCCTGAGGCGAGCAGAAGCGGATGTGTGATTGTCAGCGCCAGTAGCCAATAGGCAGCGCAGGGAAGGTGTTAAGAGAGGGCGGGCGCACTGCTGAAGGGCCTAGGGACCCGGCCAGCACCCACCTGTGAATTGTGTCATGGGCACATACACGCCCACATGCTCCACCCCTCAGTTGCACACACAGGTGCCCACTGTGACACACAGGAGAGTCGCATGCTTGTACGCTCTTACACGCACAAACACACAAACTCCCTCACACACATTCGTGTGTGTGCAGACATGCACACAGGTGTGCACACAACCCGGGCGTCTGGGGTGCACATGCACCCGCTCATCTCACTTTCCACACACTAATGCAGATGCACGCACTCACATGCACTTTCTCACATAAAACCCAGGCGTCTGGGACACACGTGCACATGCACGCACACACAGGACCCAGGCATGGCCCCCCAACACACATGGAACCCAGGTGTCTGACACCTACACAAGCACACACACAGAGGGCCCAAACATCACACACACACACACACACACACACACACAGAACCCAGCCGTCTGACACATGCACGCATGTACACAACCTAGGCGTGTCCCCCTGACACACATACACAGTGGTCCAATGCACATGTGCGCACACACAGACATATGAATGCACATACACACACACCCCCTTCCTACACCCCAGCAGCCCAAACTTCCCTGCTCAGCTCAGGTGGCCCCTCCCTGCCCCAGACACACACACAAAGCCCAGGCCTCCAGGCTGCCCCAGCCTGGCTCACATAGTGGGGGGCGAGGTCATAGTGCCACTCCATGAGGTCACAATGCACCGGCCCCGGGCTCCTTGCAGCCATGAGCTCACAGGCTCTGTGCTGGAGGGGGGGAGGGGCAGGCAGGCAACTGGGTGCCCACCCGGGGATGCTGCCAGCCATGGGTGATCAGCAGGCAGCCCAGCGGCTCCAGTGCCGGCGACAGGGGCTCCGGCACCTTGCCCACCTGGCGCTCAATGAGGCTGGCTTGCGGGTGAGGTGCTGGGGAGGGAAGGGGGGGGGAGGCATCATGCTGCACCAGGGATGGGGGTGGAAATTAGGACAATTAACCCTAATTACCCCCCCAGTCTAAGCGGCCTCCACGTAGCCCTGGGGACAAGAAGGGGCCTGCGGAAGCGGCCTCCATCCAGAGCCTGCCCCCTGAGTTGGTGAGTCATGGGGGGGCCCTATAGGGCCATATATGGGGGAGGCCTATATAGCAAGGGGGGCAGGAGGAGCCATACTTTAGCAGGGGGGGGTCATACAGTCCAGAAACCCATATATAACCCAAAGGGCTCTATATATGGGGCCCATATAGTCCATATAGGCCCCTTCTGCCCCCCGCCCCCCCACAGCTGGAGCACATCATGTCGTTCCTGCCCGTGTCGGCGGGTGGGGGGCCGGGGCGGACACCGCCAACCCCTTACGCCCAGACATGCCACACCCTGTACTGTGTGTGCGACAGTGAGGGGGCCTGGCGCCGCGCCTGCCGCCGCCTCTGTGCCCTCCCACCACTCGCCCTGCCTGGCGCTCGCCCCTGGAAGAGGGCCGCCGTGCTCAACTGTGAGTGGCTCACACAAGGCGGGGCGGGCACAAGGGGACCTCCATTGCAAGGTCCACCTGGTGTGAGGTGGCGGGGCTCACACGAGGGGAGTCCGCCAACCTCAACTGTGAGCGCCACCTCTCACAGGGGAGGAGAAGAAGCTGGCACGAGGGACTAGCGGTGTTGCATGAGGGCAGATCACCAACCTTAGCTGTGAGTTCTGCCTTACATGGGGGTGGGAGGAGCTCACACAAGGGTGGGAGGAGCTTGCACATGGGGCTGTGGGGACACACAAAGAGAGTCCATCAACTTCAGTGGCCTGACATGGGGATGGGAGGGGCTTGCACAACTGTGACCTCTGCCTGGCACAGGAGGGTGCTCAGACTTTGAATGAGAGCCTGTCCTCCCCCATGTCCAGCCTCTCACGAGAGCCACTCTACCCCCGCTCTCCCCCGCAGATACCAAGGGGCTGGTGGTGCAGCCGTTTGGGGGCCGCCAGCGAGGCCCCAGCCGCCCGCCCGCCCCAGCTCTGGCACACGGCTACCGCAAGCTGGTGCCTACACGGGAGCACGTCCTGGTGCTGGACCATGCTGGGACCCTCTTCTCCCTGCGTCATGCACTGACCCCGGCCCCTGGGCAATGGCGCCGTGCTGCTCGCTATGCTGTGCTTTGCCGGGGCACCAAGGACGTGAGTCCCCCCTCCAAATAATGCCAGGATTAGGAACCTCTAGGGAACAGTTCACAACAGACCCGCGGAGCGATGCAGCCTGCCGCAAGTACGTCTACGTGCTGGCAACCCGGGCAGGGGGCGACGGGGGGCCTGCCCCCGACTGTGTGGAGGTCTACCTGCAGGGCAGCGGGCAGCGCATCTTCAAGATGACCTTCCACCCCGCCCTGCGCTTCCGCCAGCTGCGCCTGCTGGGCCCTGAGACCGCCCGCGCCCTGCTGCTGCTCACCGGTGAGAGCCTGCAGTGCCCCCCAGATCCAGCTGCATCAGTGAGCTGTATTATACCCACCCCAGAGCCAGCCGCATCAGGGGAACCTGTTGTACCCACCCTAGAACCAGCTGAATTGTGGGCAACCAAGGGGACCCACCCCAGAGCCAGCTGCATCAGCACAGCATGTTATACCTAGCTGGTGGGGGGTGGAGGGGTGGGCCATGGAAACTGTGATACCCACACCAGAGCCAGCCACATCAGGGAACCCTGTTAAACTCTGTCCCCAGAGCCAGCCGCAACAAGGGGGAACCATGATACCCCCCCCACCCCGAGTCACCCGCATAAGGGAACATAAGGGAACCAGGGACACCCCAGAGCCATCCGCCTCAGGGAGCGCAGTACCCCCCACCTGCTCCATTAACGTGAATGGTACTGTGCCCTGCCTGCAGAGGACGGCCGTGTGTACAGCCTGAGTGTGGATGAGAGCCAGCTGGCACAGCCGCGCTCCTACACTGTGCAGTTGGCCCTGCGCAAGGTGTCGCGGGGGCACCCAGGCACCCCCATCGCCGCCATAGCTGCCGCGCCCCACAGCGCCGCCTTCCTCACTGGTACCCCCCACGCCGGGCCCTGCCCCGCAACCCACAGCCCCCACCCTGCCCCAATGTCCCTCACTCCCAACCCACAGCCCCCTGCCTCCCAGCCCTGCTGGTGCCCCTCACTCCCAATCTGCAGCCCCTGTCCCCCTACCTCCCTGGTGCCCCTCACTCCTGACCCGCAACCCCTGCCCCTCACTCCCAACCCGCAGCCCCCACTCTGCCCCCATGCCCCTCACTCCTGACCCGCAACCCCTGCCCCTCACTCCCAACCCGCAGCCCCCACTCTGCCCCCATGCCCCTCACTCCTGACCCACAGCCTCTGTTTTCCCCCGCCAGCCCTGCCAGTGCCCCTCACCCCCGACCCACAGCCCCAACTCTGCCCTGTTGCTCCTCACTCCCAACCCACACCCTCTGTCCTCCCAGGCCTGCCAGTGCCCCTCACTCCTGACCTGTAGCCCCCCACCGACACCTGTCCCTTCCCTCTCAGAGCAGGGCACTGTGTACCTGGAAGTCCATGCCCCAGGCGTGTACCGGGACCTCTTTGGCACCCTCCATGCCTATGACCCCCATGACCCCCAGATGCCCCTCGTACTGTCCCTGCCTGCCAAGGTAAGTGGGGGGCTAGCCACCCCAGGCCTGGAGGGTGGGCACTGGGCTTGTCTGGTGCCCCTGACCCCCCTGTGCCTCCCCAGGTGCTGTCCTGTGCCCTGGGCTCCAACCACCTGGGGCTGGTGGATGAATTCGGCCGCGTCTTCATGCAGGGAAGCAACCGGCACGGGCAGCTGGGCACCGGGGACAAGATTGACCGCGGGGAGCCTGCCCAGGTGAGAGCCCGCCAGGGGGCCCACCCCAGAGCCAGCCACAGCAGTGGGCCTGTTATACATTGCGGGTGGGTCTCGTTACACCCACCCCTGGTGCCCACCCCAGCACCAGCTGCATTGGGGGGATCCTGCTATACCCAGCCCAGTGCCCACCCCAGCACTAGCTGAATTAGGGGGTCCTGTAACACCCAACCTTGGTGCCCACCCCAAAGCCAGCTGCATCGGGGGTCCTGTTATACTCACCCCCAGTGCCCCGCCAGAGCAAGCCACATCAGAGAACCCTGTTGTACCCAGGACCCACCCCAGAACCAGGTGCATTGGGGACCCCCTCCCAATACCTGCAGGGCACCCTGAGACCCACCAGGTACCCTCAGATGCATCCCAACCCCAGAGACAGCACCTAATGCCCCTAAGGGAGACCCCCCCACCCCAGCCAGCTCTCTGTTCCCCCTGCAGGTGCCCAGCCTGGCCCGGCCCTTGGCCCTGTGGTGTGGCCTGAACCACTCAGTGGTACTGGCACCCAGTGGGGCAGGGGGCCGCGAGGTGCTGGGCTGTGGCTGCGGGGCCGGAGGGCGCCTGCCTGGCTGGCCCAAAGGCAGCGCCTCCTTCGTCTGCCTGCAGGTCGAGGTGAGCTTGTCCCCCTCCCACACAAGAGCTAGCCACTGTGGGGGGGGGGGCCCCAGGATACCCACCCCAGAGCCAGCTGTGGCATGTGGGGGCCCTGGGATACCCACCCCAGAACCAGCCACTGTGTGGGGGGCCCTGGGATACCCACCCCAGAGCCAGCCACTGTGCAGGGGAAACTGGGATACCCACCCCAGAGCCAGCTGTGGCATGTGGGGGCCCTGGGATACCCACCCCAAAGCCAGCTGCGGCATGGGGGGCCCCAGCATATGCACCCCAGAGCCAGCTGCAGCACAGGGCACCCAAGATACCAACCCCAGAGCCAGCTGCATTGTGGGGTCCTTTTCTACCCAGTCTCTGACAGCCCACCCTAGAGCCAGTCGCGTCCTGGCCCATGTTATACCTATCCCTGATGCCCCACGCCAGAACCAGCCACCTCTCAGGGCCCTGTTCCACCCAGCCCCCTATGCCCCACCCCAGAGCCAGCCACTGCCTCTCCCTGCAGGTACCCCCCAGCGCCAGCAGCCTGTGCTCCACCCGCGATGGCCTCTACGTGCTGTGCAGCTACGACATTGAGGAGCAGCCAGCCTTCCGTGACCTGCCGCCCGGGGCCCCTGCGGTGCCCCCTGTGCCCAGCCCGGGGGTCCCACCCGCCTGCACTGCTCTCCTGGTGCAGCTGCAGAGCTGTCCCACGCTGCCTGGGCGCGTGGCCAAGCTGCAGGAGGCCGTGGGCGCCCTGCCCTTGCCCCCCGCCCAGCGCCACTTCCTCTGCCAGGGCCTGGAGCTGGTGCAGCGCGCTGCTCAGGCCCCACCCTGCAGCTAGTGGGGGCCCCCAGGACCCCTCACCCCTGGGACCCCCACTCCTGGGACCCCCGCCAGATCATGGATAGTAATAAGGAGCAGGAATCAATAAAGGCTCCAGTGGGACCTGTGGGTTCATGGATTGCGGGGAGGCGGACCCCTAGAAATGGGGGGGTTATAACCCCCCCAATTAAAGGGGCCTGTTATACCCATCCACTGCCAGACTGCATCCCAGATCCAGTTACATCTCAGTGCTGGGCCCCCCCTGCACCCAGACCAGGGCAACCAGCGGGCAGCCCCTCCATTTACTTACCCCCCCATGCCCACCTGGCTTCATATGGGGAGGCATATCGGCAGGACAGGGTCAAAGGGCAAATAGGGGGAGTCAGATGCCTGGGTTCTTCCCCCCCACCCAGAACTGCACCCCCGCCACAACCAGAGCCCAGAGCCAGTGCTCTCCAAGTCCACCTTTATTTCCAGTTCACACCAGTAACAACCAGTTCAAAGACCCATTTGAAGGTCAGTCCCAGTTCCCTCCCCAGCTCCATCCCAGAGGCAGCTGCATCTCGGAGCCAGGTCAGGGGTCCCCGTTATACCCAGCTGCTAATACACCTTACCCCAGAGGCGGATGCATCTCAGGTCCAGAGGGGTCTTGGTTAAACCTGGCCACCGCCCAGCCCAATGGCAGCCCCACGGCAGCCTGCCCCCAGCCCAGCTCCCATTGGCTGACGACACCCCCAGGTCCCATCCCATGTGCTCACGACAGCTCCCCGCCCCACCGTGCGACGCACGAGGATGCCAGAGCCATGGGTTTTTTTCCCTTTATTCGCATACACAGAGCAGACGGGGCTGGATCCCCCGTCACACCAGGGGAGGCCGAGGAGCCGGGGGTCAGCCCTGGGGGCGTGGGAGGCACGACCGCTTGCTGAGGTTGGTGAGGACCTGGTGCTGCGGGGGCCGGAACTGCACCACAAAGCTCTCGGGGGGCAGCCAGGGGCCCCCAGTGTCCAGCTGCCCCATCAGGATGTAGCTGGCGCCTGTGAGGAGACAGGGCAGCTGAGTCTGGGGTGGAGCATCAGGTCGGGGAGAACAGGGCCTGGGTGCACCCAGCTCTGGGGAGCCAGGCTGGCTATAATGGGGCCCAGATGCACCCACTCTGTGGGGCTGGGCCGGGCTGGGTGTAATGGAGCTAGGATGTGCCCAGCTCTGGGGGGGACTCACCTTTCTTGAGCTGGGGGCACTGGCGACAGGGCACGGCCAGGCGCAGCGACGCCCCCTTGTGGGGCTGGGGCAGCGCCAAGGCTCCGGCCTGGTAGACGGTCACCACGGCGACGGTTGCTGTGACGCCCTCACCAGGGCCTCGGGTCACGGCCTTCACAGTCCCAGTGAGCACTGGGGGAGGGGACAAGCACAGGGGTGAGACCATGGTGTCCCCCCCAGACCCAGCCCCGCCGGTGCCCCTCGCTCCTGACCCGCAGCCCCCTGCCCCCCCAGCCCAGACACCTGGGTTCCTCACCGAAGTCGCTAGCACAGAAGTTACTCTGGAGGGTCCCCGTCCGCCGGCAGGTCTTGGGGCAGGCGATGGGGCCTGGTGGGAGTATATGCAGGGGTCAGTGTGGGGGGGCACCCAATCCTGGTTTGGGGTGGAGGAGGCAAGGGTTTGGGGCCCGATCCTGAGCCTAAGGATCACCTCCCGCCATAGGGGCCTGGTCCCATCTAGGGGGGCTTGCCTCGATTCTGGGGGGGGGACACAGAAGGGCCTGATCCTTACCTGTGGGGACGGTGCTGGTCAGCTGCCCCTCAGGAGACAGCGGGGGAGGGGCCGGGGCCGTGGGGGGTGGCTTGGCTTTGCCGGGGTCTTTGCCACCCTTGCCCTTGCTGGTGCCTGGCTTGGGGACGGGGGGCAGCAGAGGGGGCGCGACAGGTGAGGGGCCACGCTCAGCCAGCTCCTCGGGGTCACGAGCAGCATAGGTGGCGGCGAAGCCGTCGGCTGTGACACTCAGGTCCGAGACGAACTGGACCAGCAGCTCCCGGCCCTCCGAGATGATGGGGCTGCGGGAGGAGGAAGGGGTTAATGCAGCCCCCTGGTGCCCCTCACTCCCAACCAGCAGCCCTCGCTCTGGCACCCAAGGGCAGGTGCCCCAATCCCAGGGGGTCCAGGGCTCACACAGGGCTGGTGTCGCCGCAGAAGCGCCCCACACGCCGCGCGTCATCACTTTGCCCGCCCTGGAAGACGCTGACATAGTCGTAGCGGCAGTAGGTGTCGGCCTCCACGTCGAACTTGCCCCAGGTCAGCTCGATCACCTGCCCCGGGGCAGGTGTCAGTCTTTAGGCCCGGCCCCCAGGCCGCTAGCCCTCCCTCCTCCTCTAGGCCCTGCACCCAGGCCCTTCAGCCCTGCCCAGCCCTTTTAGCCATGCTCCCAAGCCCTCCATCCCGACCTACTCCAATAGGCTCCCAGCTGCATCGGCCCCATAAGCCACATCCCTAGCCCCACCCACTCCAATAGGCCCTGCCCACAGAGCCCCAGCCCCTCCCATATCTATAAGCCCCACCCCCAACCCCCTCCTACTTCAATCCACCCTGTCCCAAGGCTCAACCCCACCCACCCATAAGCCACACCCCTAACCCCACCCATTCCTATAGGCCCTGCCCCTAAGCTCCCAGTCCTGCCCACACCAGTAAGCCCTGCCACCAACCACCCTGGCCCCGCCTCCTCCCCTAGGCCCCTCCCCCAGAGCCCTGAGTTGTGTCTACCCTATAAACCACACCTCCAAACTGCCTAGCCTCGCCTACTCGATAGATCCCACCCCAGGTCTGCCAACCACTGTAGACCCCTTCCCCAAACCCCCTACCACCTCTATATGTCCCACTTTCAACACCCCCTAGCTCCTGGCCCCACCCATGCCTATAAGCCCCTCCCTCAAACCCCCTAGCTCCGCCTACTCCAACAGGCCCTGTCCCACTCACCCTCCTCCCCAAAGCCCAGGGGTGGGCAATTATTTTGGGTGGAGGGCCATTTACTGAGTTTTGGCAAGCCATCAAGGGCTGCATGACAGGCAGCCAGGAGCAGATATATATTAATTTTCTACATTTTTTTAGGGGACTTGGGGGCCAGATAGAATGGGCTGGCGGGCCATATTTTGCCTACCCCTACCATAACCCTACCTCCACAAGCCCTGCTCCCAATCTCCTAGCCCTGCTCACTCAAATAGGCCCCACCCCTAGACTTTCCATTCCCACCTAGCCTGATGGGTCCTGCCCTGCCCCACCCACAGCAATAAGCCCCGCCCCTGCCCTGCCCACCTTGCCTAGGGGGGCAATGATGTGCCAGGAGCAGCTGATGCCAGCCGGGTAGTCACTCTCGGGCCAGTTCGGGGTCTTGATGGTGCCCTGGGGCTTCTCCAGGCGCCCCCCGCAGAACTGCTGGTCTGGGGGACATGGGGGGGGGGTCAGAGTATGCGACAACTGCCCCTCGTAAACCCTCACCCACCCTCGTGCATGGGGGTCCAGTGCCAGGCTCCTCATGTGATGGCAAGCATGCCAGCACCCCTCCCAAGCACGCACACCGGCCTGGGCATGAGAATATGAGAACCCCCCCGAGGTCCATATATCTATGTGCAGATCCCCTAGAGCCACGTGCAAGCTCCTTAGATTCGCGTGTATACACCCAGCTGCACGTGCGCCCACCTGCGATCCATGTTCAAACACCCCCAGATCCACATGAGAGGATTCCCCAGATCCATATTCAAACCCCCAGATCCATGTACAAACAAACCCAGATGCCTGTGTAAATCCCAGGCCCACATGCCCACACCCCCAATTCACATGCAAACTCCCTGATCCACGTGCAACCCCCCCCACACCCACATGCAAGCCCATAGCTCCATGTGAAAAGAGCCCTGATCCATGTGCAAAACACCCCAGTACCACATGCAAACTTCCAAATACCCATGCCAATTCCCATATCCCCGTGCAAACACCACTGATGAACATGCAAACCCCCAGACTCACGTGAAAGCCCCCTGGATCCACATGCAAATACCCCAATCCACATGCAAACCCCCAACTCACCCAGGGCCACATGCAAACACCCAGACTCAGTCAGATTCACAGGCAAACAACCCCAGATCCTTGTGAAAACCCTCCGAGCTACATGCAAATGCCCCAGACCCATGTGGAAATGCCCCCAATCCATGTGCAAACCACCCCAGCTCCACATGAAAGTCCCAGACCCATGTGCAAACCACCCACACGCCAGGCACGGAGCCCCTCTACAATCTCTCCAGCTGCACGTGCCACCAAGTCAGGTCCACATGCAAACGCCCAGCTCCCCGTGCAACACCTGCTGTGCGCACACAGCGCCCACCCCATGGGCTGGTGGGGGCGGCTGTGGCGAGCGGCGCCCGGCAGGCGGGCGCGGGACCCAGGGGACTGTGCCAGGCTCGTCACAGGCTGCAATTAGCCCAGGCTCCGCGGTCAGGTTAATTACAGGCCACACGTGGATGCGGGGGGAGCAGAGCAAGGTGGGGAGCGGGAAGTGGGGAGGGAAGGAGAGGCCCTGTG